CCCCCCACCTCCTTTGGGACCTCTCCGCGTGCAGCGCCGAAGGCCCTTTTGGGGGGAGAGCGGTGATCTGCAAGCCGGGCAGGAGCGTTGTTAGGCAAGGAAGGTGTTGCGCGGTCAGGGAGAGAGGGGAGTCTCGTGCGCGTTGAGAAACCAGAGCTCCTTCAGCGCCCCCCCCTCCAATGCTGTACGAGAGCAAGAGGCTTTCACAGCCGGGGTGCCTCCCCGCTTCCTCTGCCCTGCGCCGTGCTGGGTTCACACCGACCAGTTGAGGTTGGCAGGGACCTCTGGAGATCAGCCAGTCCAACCCCCCCCGCTCCAGCAGGGTCACCTAGAGCGCGTTGCCCAGGGTCGCGTCCAGGCGGCTTTTGAGGACTCCACAACCTCTGTGGGCAACCTGCTCCAGTGCTCCTGTCACCCTCACAGGGGAAAAGTTTTGTCCTTATTTCCTTGCCGCTGGTTGGATCTGGCCCCTCCGTGAAGCGGGAGGGATGGAGGAGGGTCATCCTTCTTGGGCTTCTCCAAAGGGAATGAAAACCAGGACTTTCTCCGTGAACGTGTGAGCTTAGCTCCTACATGGGAAACATCAAGGAGCACCATGTTTTCATGGAGGTCTGTGCGACGAGGACTTTTCCAGGCTCATTTCTGTCACAGATTCACTAGTTTCTCTCTGGATTAGCCCAGAAAGACATAGCGCGGGTGCGAGATTAAGTTGAAAAGGATCCGTCCTCCTCAGTGTGTGCTAACACTGGACTGTTGCAGAGTTTCAGTGAGACTCAGCAGAGCGACTCTGCACGTGGCCATCAGCAAAGCCCGCTGATACAGCGACACAACATCGCTGACCCCTTGAACAAATACAAACCACGCCCCTTATTTTGGCACCAAACAGGTTAAAGCAGAATTGTAGGAGAATCCAAGTGAAAAACAGATGAAGTGTCCAGTCTGGAAAACTCCATGGGGTCTTTCAGGGTGCCAAAGGCATCCTGCGTACCTAAGTTACTCCTAAGTTACACCTAAGTGTGCTTTAAAGATACAGCACACACATGGGAGCGAGATCTTGCTTTGCAGCGAGAGACAGGTTAGCATCTCTCTGACCTCCTGCAGTGTTTACTTTCCTGGTACTAACAGTTAGACACATGCTTGCCACTCTTATCTCTTCTGTTCTTCCAGATAAGAGGATTTTTGTTGTTGCTGTTGTTCATCCCTTGCCTGGAGGCCCAGGTGTACGTAGCGCTTTCTTCACGTACTGTGCTCTGCTTCGGATGGAAGACCTATAGCTTCGTGTTTCTGGTTGAAAGAGTTGTTAACTTGAAAATATTCTCCATAGGAGAGTTAAATCACCCATAAGCTTTAGAGCTTTGGGCTTTTAGATGCATCCAAAAATATTTTGCCTCCTAGTGCTGGACTTACTGAAAATGAAAGACGCTGCAGAGATTAAAATCTTGTCTTTTTCAAATTTGGATAGACTTAAAATGAAACAGAAAAACTTGCATTTGTGTTTTGCCCAGAAACAGAAAGAGAAAACTTCCTCATAAAACCACAGTAATTGGCTGTGGAGTCTCATTGGCAGGTGTAATAACTGAAATAACTTTAGACTTACATTTTTAAAATAGAACCAAAAATAAATGAGCAGTGGCCCTGTTGCTTTGCTAAACCAAAATTTAAGCTGAGGAAAAGGTTTTGGTTCGAGGGATGTAATCATTGTGACTATTTTTTCTCTCATTTTGCTTTTCATGCATTAAACACTTCCTTCATACGCTTTCTCAAAAATGGTCTGCTATGGGTATATTCAGTAAAGACTTCTGTAGTATTATTTAGGCCTTGTGGTAAATAAATACCCTTCCTTCACTGGAAATAGCATGTTAGCAGCTTCTTAACTATTTTAAAATGGAAAAAATACAACATTCAGCCTTTCCCTATGTAGGAACAGTTGCTTCATTTAGATTATGGGTTGTTAGATTATGTCTGTGAGTGCACTAGATGATTATGGATGCAGAAAATAATTGAAGGAAGGTCAAATAATATACATTTTGTATGCCATTATTATGAGCATGGTTACTCGTACTGCTGCAGCAGCTGTGGGGAACTGCAGCCAGGCTGTTTCATTGTATTGGATTCAATGTAAACAGAAAAGAGCCCTGAAAGCAATCATTCTCTTTTATCGCAGGACTTAATTTAAAATGTGAAATACGTCTCCTGAACTTACGGGCTTCAACCTGTTGGCTAGCGGTTTCACTTTTCCCAGTGTAGGTAGCTGTTGTGAAAAGTCAAAGTCACGGAGAGAGCATCAGCCTCTCAAATCTGGTGCAGTCTCTGACTGGGTAGCGAACGCCAGCGGGGCTCACCAGCAAACCAGAGCCAGGAAGGAGTGCAACAAGAAACACGTGAGCTTCTGCATGTGCTGGTTTATTTGGTTCATTTCTAGACATAATGAACTGCAGTAACCAAGGCGAAGGCCAAAGCTAGAGCTTACGGGGTGCCACCTCCTCGCCAGGATGCCGTGTGTTGGAGTACCTGGCTGTCACAGATCCATGCCCGGGAGGGGCTGTGGAGGAAGATTAGGCAAGAACTGTGCTTTTGCAAGTTGGAAATATTAAATCTACCTTAGGGCTTAAAAACTGGTTCCCTAGGCAGACAACCCAGATGAAAGGTATGCCAGTAGGAAGGAAGGATGATTAATACCCAAGACTTGCTGGAATGGAGTTAAAGAATCCAGTGGCCAACACTATCTTAGTAGCAAAAACTGCTTGGAATGAAAGGCCACCGTACTCCACTTAAACACATATAATGTCTTCATTGCATGTGACAAGACATGCTTATTTAAGTGTGATGTCTCACCTGCAGATGCATCCTGTCTCATAGAAGTGAAACCGTCTGCTAGGAATACTGGGTGCCTGTAACGCATACGGGAAGGAAGTCAGAGACGTACATGTATTGGTCATACAAGATTTTCGGTGATGGTTCAAAAAGTAACAGCTCTCACACACTACTGAAATACCACTACACTG